CCTATTAATCAAACGACTATTACACACATGTTTGAAGAAAACTACTTTTAAACACACCAATGAAGTAGACGACTTTTAACACACCAATGGAGCAGACGCCTTTGAACAAGCCTATGGAGTAGACGACTTTTAAAACACCTATGGAGCAGACGACTTTTAAACACAACAATGGAGCAGACGATATTTTAACACACCTATGGAGCAGACGACTTTTTAACACACCTATGGAGCAGACGACTTTTAAACACACCTATGCATCAAACGACTTTTAAACACACCTATGGAGCAAACGACTTTTAAACACATCTTTGAAGAAAACTACTTTTAAACACACCTATGGAGCAGACGACTTTTAGACACGCCTATGGAGCAGACGACTTTTAGCACACCAATGGAGCAGATGACTTTTAAACACACCAGTGGAGCAGTCGACCGTTAACACACATATGGAAAGACGACCTTTAAACACACCTATTAATCGAACGACTATTAAACACATCTTTGAAGAAAACTACTTTTAAACACACCAATGAAGTAGACGACTTTTAACACACCAATGGAGCAGACGACTTTTAATCACGCCTATGGAGCAGACGACTTTTTAACACACCAATGGAGCAGACGACTTTTTAACACACCTAAGGAGCAGACGACTTTTAAACACACCTATGCATCAAACGACTTTTAAACACACCTATGGAGCAAACGACTTTTAAACACATCTTTGAAGAAAACTACTTTTAAACACACCTATGGAGCAGACGACTTTTAGACACGCCTATGGAGCAGACGACTTTTAGCACACCAATGGAGCAGATGACTTTTAAACACACCAATGGAGCAGTCGACTTTTAACACACCTATGGAGCAGACGACCTTTAAACACACCTATTAATCAAACGACTTTTAAACACATGTTTGAAGAAAACTACTTTTAAACACACCAATGGACTAGACGACTTTTAACACACCAATGGAGCAGACGACTTTTAAAACACCAATGGAGCAGACGACTTTTAAACACACCTATCAATCAAACAACCTTTAAAGACACCAAAGGAGCAGACGACTTTTAAACACACCAATGGAGCAGACGGCGTTTTAACACACCAATGGAGCAGACGACTTTTAAACACACCTATCAATCAAACAACTTTTAAACACACCAATGGAGCAGACGACTCTTAAACACATCTACGGAGCAGACGACTTTTAAACACACCACTGGGGCAGACGATTTTAAACACACCAATGGAGCAGACGACTTTTAAACACACCATTTGAGCAGACAACTTTTAAACACACCAATGGAGCAGACGACTTTTTATGGAGCAGACGACTTTTTAAACACACCAATGGAGCAGACGACTTTTAAACACACCAATGGAGCAGACGACTTTTAACACACACCAATGGAGCTGACGACTTTTAACACACCAATGGAGCAGACGACGTTTAAACACGCCTATGGAGCAGACGACTTTAAACACACCAATGGAGCAGACGACTTTTAACACACCAATGGAGCAGACGACCTTTAACACCACCAATGGATCAAACGACTTTTAAACACACCGATGGAGCAGATGACTTTTAAACACACTAATGGAGCAGACGACTTTTAAACACACCAATGGAGCAGACGACTTTTAACACACCTTTGGAGCAGACGACTTTTAAACACACCAATGGAGCAGACGACTTTTAAACACACCTATGGAGCAGACGACTTTTAAACACACCTATGGAGCAGACGACTTTTAAACACACCGATGGAGCAAATGACTTTTAAACACACCTCATGGAGAATGGAGAACGACTTTAAACACACCAATGGAGCAGACGACTTTTAACACACCAATGGAGCAGACGACTTTTAAACACACCAATGGAGCAGACGACTTTTAACACACCAATGGAGCAGACGACTTTAACACACTAATGGAGCAGACGACTTTTAAACACACCAATGGAGCAGACGACTTTTAACACACCAATGGAGCAGAAACTTTTTAAACACACCAATGGAACAGACGACTTTTAAACACACCAATGGAGCAGACGACGTTTTAACACACCAATGGAGCAGACGACTTTTAAACACACCAATCAATCAAACATCAATCAACGACAACTTTGGAGCAGACACTTTTAAACACACCAATGGAGCAGACGAGATCAGACGACTTTTAAAACCTTACACCAATGGGGCAGACGATTTTAAACACACCAATGGAGCAGACGACTTTTAAAAACACACCAATGGAGCAGACGACTCTTAAACATTCCTATGGAGCAAACGACTTTTAAACACACCTTTGAAGCTAACACTTTTAAACACACCAATGGGGCAGACGATTTTTAAACACACCAATGGAGCAGACGACTTTTAAACACACCATTTGAGCAGACAACTTTTAAACACACCTATGGAGCAGACGACTTTTAAACACACCTATTGAGCAGATTACCTCAGTCCACGCGCACGGGTCAGTTGGTATGTCCTCATCAGTGTAATTAGCGAACCAGTCCATCATACTGTGAGACCGGGCTACCTAATAATACGTTTTTAGCATATCACGTGCCAGACCAAACGCTGATTAGGACACGATTTCTGGGTTGATGGCTGACATGTGCGTAGACACGTGATACAAATACATTCCACCTCTATCCATTAACAGAAGCATTTCCAATCAATTCAGTATTATCTGCAGACTCCAAACAGAGAGTCAGAAGTGTACGCGTGTTTACAATGAAAATACGTTGTATAAAGTGTTCCGCAGCGCAAAGCGTCAGCGTGTTAATAGGTTGGTGTGGAAATTCGCAGTGTCACCTAGTGTTTTATAAGTACATGTATTTCTACAGACAAATGTGTGGTGTATGGGCACACAGTGATGTCTGATCAATGAAAATAGAGCTGTCTTCTCTGGACATGTAAACCTTGTGAATGGATACATGCTAGTGAGTGTGAGAGTGAGGTGGAATTGGGTAGCGACAGATGGTAATAAAATATAATACATGTGTATGAATTAGTTATATAAATATTGGTCAAAAGCATTTCAAAAGATTCGGTGGTGATAGTGAAAATGATTGTAGCGCTAAGACTACTGCACCCATGTACACTGCGTGACCTGTACTGTCAGTAAAGATACAGTACCATAGTGCTAACCTATTGAGATAGCATGTGACAGTTTCACGTGGCTACTCCACTCACACATAGAATACTGGCCACATATGAGTTCATTTAATGACCAACACCAGGCAGGGAAATAACAATTAACATCACGTTTGGTATGACATGGTAAGGACGTTCAGGTAATGACTTAATGCAGGCTGATATCAACATTGTAAGGATGTCCATGGAATGATTGAATGCTGGCTGATATGAACATTGTGAATGATTGAATGCTGGCTGATATGAACATTGTGAATGATTGAATGCTGGCTGATGTGAACATTGTGAATGATTGAATGCTGGCTGATATGAACATTGTGAATGATTGAATGCTGGCTGATATGAACATTGTAATGATTGAATGCTGGCTTATATGAACATTGTGAATGATTGAATGCTGGCTGATGTGAACATTGTGAATGATTGAATGCTGGCTGATGTGAACATTGTGAATGATTGAATGCTGGCTGATATGAACATTGTGATTGATTGTATGCAGGCTGATATGAATATTGTGATTGATTAAATGCAGGCTGATATGAGGTGAGGTAAGGTGGGGTGAAATTGGGTTTAACGTCGTGTTTGAGAATATTTCGCTCATATGACGACGTGCATGCGTGTGTGTAAGTCCGGCTGCTTGTACTAGCCAAGACTGAAGCTGGTTTTATAGTGCTAGCCCACTGAGAAACCATGCCGCAGTGAAGCATGAATACCCCACTCAGACACACTATACTGACTCCGAGCCGAACAGTCCTTGTTGTACCCATTAATGTCGAGCGCCAGGCAGGGACCAACAAGTACCATATTTTCAACGTCTTTTGGTATGACGCGGTCGGGGATCGAACCCGCGATCTTCCGCTCTCCGGGCGGACGCTCTAACCACTACACCACGGAGGCGGTCGCAGGCTGATATGAACATTGTAAGGTCTTGTGCAGCAACAAACTAAGAGTAGTGGTCAGGCCCGATGATGACCTGGTTAAATACGTTATTGATTGCCCACACACGTGATCACTAAATACTGTAAACTATGTTTGTGACGAACACGCTTGTAACGAACTGGCATATATTAAAATCTTTGGGTTTTTAGTCAATGCCATTTGCAAATGAAATGAAATGCAAATCTGTTCCACTAAACGTGAAGATCACACTCTCACACTATCAAGTATAAACTCGTGAAGATCCTGGTTAGATTGGGCCTTCAGGCGACTATCGAGATCCGGCGGTCAGGCTCGATGTTTGTTAAAGAAAGAATGTGTTATAAGCAATCTATCTTCAACAACAATGTCGAACTGAAACAACACAATGTTTTCTATTGACAAAAACTCTGAAAACGTAACGTTTGTGACTGAAAATGTCACTAAAACACATTCACTTGTTTCCAACGTCATGCATAGTCATCTACATTTGCGTTCATACCCGTGAAGATCCGGGTTAGAATTGATCTTCAGCAACCTATGCTTGTAAGAGGCGACTAACGGGATCGGGTTGGCAGGCTCGCTAACTTGGTTGACACATGTCATCGTATCCCAATCGTGTAGATTGATGCTCATTTTGTTGATCACTGGATTGTCTGGTCTAGAATCAATTATTTACAGACAGTCGCCAAATAGCTAGAATATTGCTGAGTGCGGCGTTAAACCCCCACCCCCGAAAAACAAAACAATACAAAACAAAACAACAACAACAACAAAACCAAAATAATCAACAACAACAAACAAATCCACCTGATAAGCAACATAAATGCGATATTACGAGCGCTTATCACACCCACACGAACAGCACTCTTGGCACGTTTTGTGTCAGCGTTCCCAACAAACAAAATATCTTCTCGCAAACGCAACATTGTTCAGTGCACGTGATTTGTCATGTGACAGAGCGCGGGAAGTGCACGAGTGAAATCAGCCATTGCTGGGATGAACTGGGAGGCTGACAACATCAGCTGTGAGTTTCCTTCATGATGTTATACATATATACTGGCGAATGTTCATTAAAGCTAAACTTCAATCCTTAAATCGGAAAGTATGAGAGTTGGTGTATGTACCCACATAGACGAAATATCTGTATTCAGTATGTTATCGTTAGTTGACGAAGACATTTTTCAAAATTCAGGTTCAAAAATTGAATTGTGTTATATACGCAGATGGGTGCATATGATGGATGCTGCTTTAAAGTTACTCTCCCCACATCCAACCCCCCCCCCCCACACACACACACACATGATCAAACCCTCAAACTCCCGTGAAAATGCAAATGCAAGGTAGAATTCGTCTCCAGCAACCTATTCTTGTCGACTGACTTGATCGCGTGTTTAGGTTCATACACAAGGTGCAACATGTCATCGTAACCCAGTTGTATATGACGACGCTCATGGTGTGGATCACCGACTTGTCTGGTCTAGACTACATCATTTAGAGACACCCATTACATATCTAACTACTGTCGGGCGAATCGCTGAGCAACAAACATACACACAAATAACTTAATTAAGCACCCCTGTATTTTTGCAATGGTAGGTTTTCAACGCGTACGTGTCGTGGTGACCACGATGGAAAAACATGAATTTGTCTGACCCGTATGATCCTTTGACTCATAAAAATGACACAATGATTGGAATCCATGTTGAATTTATGATAATTGCTCATTAAACAAACACCGATTTTTACACAAAACCATGTCTGTACAAGTATGGCCCCGGAATGTTTAATGTTGAATTTATTGGGGAATGTGAACATTCAAAATGTCATTTTGCGTGTCTTACACGATTCAAGGTCAATACCGAGTATAACCTCCATGTGACTGTATAACAGTCAGCACGCTCCTCCTCTTACCCCTGCCTGCCTCCTGATACTCTGAAGGGGCAGTCTACGCCATTCCACGTGTAAAGCAGCTTCCAATTGGTCCAGGTTCTGTTAAGGAGGATCCCTTTGTTGCACACGACGACCAATCATGTCCCAGTACATGTTTCGAATTTGAAGGTTGCAAGTACAGTCGACTGTCATAACGAACTAAAACCCACACATTTTAGTTAGAGTTCCGCCCGTAATCCCCGCTTGAAATGTAGAATACATCTATTTATTAGGATTATTTCGAGGGGTTAGGGTTAGGGTTTGGGTTTGGGTTTAGGGTTAGGTTTGGGGTTAAGGGTTAGGTTTGGGGTTAAGGGTTAGGTTACCCACTTTTTTCGTCCTGTCTATTACTAGACTTTCCATGTTCATTGACTCTCTGTAAATAGTTTTAACTATTTTTTTCTCCTATAGTATTGTAGCGCCATGAGCGGGTATTAGTACCTGGATGTAGCGCTATATAAATACCCACATTATTTATTATTATTATTATTTATATTATTTAATGAAAACCATAGGCCTATATTCTTAGGCACAGAATGATCAGAAGAAATACGGGGGTTACGTGCGGAAATCTTTCCCAAATTTTAGGGTGCGGTGGGGTAGTCTAGTGGTTAAAGCGTTGGCTCGTCACGCCGAAGACCCGGGTTCGAATCCCCACATGGGTACAATGAGTGAAGCCCATTTCTGGTGTCCCCCGCCGTGATATTGCTGGAATATTGCTAAAAGCGGCGTAAAACCAAACTCAGTCAGTCAGTCCCAAATTTTAGTTAGAGGAAAAGACAGCTAGGGACCAAAGAGAAAATCTGTTTTATTCCTCAGTTATGTGCAGAGTTGCGTCCCTTTGGCAGGGCAGAAACTTACGATCGTATGTTCGGATCCCTCTTCGCACTGTCTAGGTTTGTCTGTACCGCACCAGGCTTCTCTCCCACATCAGACCAACACACCCTGATGTAACTGGAAAACTGTTGCAATCGGCCATAACCCAACAAATTTGCTCGTTCAAAATGTGAAGAAATTTGGTTTGTTTTCACTTAACCACTAACATTGAGAATGTATTAAATTGCTCTTCTAAATTTCTAAGAATGTACTTTTGGTTGTGTGTGGGGCAGTGGGGTAGCCTTGTGGTAAAAGCGTTGGCTAGTCAGGCCGAAGACCCGGGTTCGATTCCCCACATGGGTACAATGTGTGAAGCCGATTTCTGGTGTCCCCCGCCGCCTATTGCTGAAATATTGCTAAAAGCGGCATAATACCAAATTCATTGAGGACAATGAAATTTTGAATGAATGGTTCTCTTAATGACATTATGGTTAGTGCAGATATGTAAAATCTAGTGTTAGAATGTTCAGTAGTAATACAAGAATAGACAACCAAGAGTCCCTGTGCCTGTCTTTGTCGACATTTTAGGATGTAGGACTATATATACAGGGAAGTAGTGGCACCTTCAAAACAAGAACTAAATAACGATACCTGGTTTCTTTTAAAGAAACCTACCCGTTAAGATCCGGGTAAGAATGAACCTTCAGCAACCCATGCTTTTCGTAACGGGCGAACCGCCTCCGTGGTGTAGTGGTTAGAACGTCCGCCCGGAGAGCGGAAGGTCGCGGGTTCGATCCCCGACCGCGTCATACCAAGAGACGTTAAAATATGGTACTTGTTGGTCCCTGCCTGGCGCTCGGCATTAATGGGTACAACAAGGACTGGTCAGCTCGGAGTCAGTATAATGTGTCTGAGTGGGGTATTCATGCTTCACTGCGGCATGGTATCTCAGTGGGCTAGCACTTTAACACCAGCTTAAGTCTTGGCTAGTACAAGCAGCCGCACATACACACGCATGCACGTCGTCATATGAGCGAAATATTCTCAAGCACGACGTAAAACCCAATTTCACCTCACCTCACCTCACCTCGTAAGGGGCGACTAACGGGATCGGGTGGTCAGGCTCGCTGGCTTGGTTGACACATGTCATCGGTTCCCAATTGCGCACTCTATGCTCATGCTGTCGATCACTGGATTGTCTGGTCCAGACTCGATTATTTACAGACCGCCGCCATATAGCTGGAACATTGCTGACTGCGGCGTAAAACACAACTCACTCACTTAAAGAAACCTACTATATCCCATTTTCTGTGAAGTATGAAAGTCATAATTGAAGCAAGTCTGGACTTTACCCTCAATCTGTACTCCTTTTCGGTTAAAATGGAATCAGATGTTTGCGTCAAAACACATTTCCAGGAACTGAGACCATAAGTGTGTGTTTCAGAAAAGCATGTCTGGACGCGGTAAAGGCGGCAAGATCAAAGCCAGCAAGTCCAAGAGTAGATCTACCCGTGCCGGACTCCAATTCCCCGTGGGACGACTTCATCGGCTACTCAGGAAGGGGAACTATGCAGAACGAATAGGCGCAGGTGCTCCTGTATACATGGCGGCTGTGCTAGAATACCTAGCGGCAGAGGTTCTAGAACTGGCGGGAAATGCCGCGAGGGATAACAAGAAGGCTAGGATCGTCCCTCGTCACATACAGCTGGCGATCAGAAACGATGACGAACTAAACAAACTCTTGAGTGGAGTCACGATATCCGAGGGCGGCGTTCTCCCCAATATTCAACAGGCATTGCTTCCGAAGAAGTCCAGCAAAGCAAGTGCCGCGGCGTCCTCCCAGTCCCAAGAGTTCTGAACTGTATGTTTGTGGTTAGCTCCCTTGTGGGCCGAAGTTGTCTCCCTTGTGGACCTAAGTTGTCTCCCTTGTGGACCTAAGTGTGGACCTAAGTTGTCTCCCTTGTGGACCTAAGTTGTCTCCCTTGTGGACCTAAGTTGTCTCCCTTGTGGACCTAAGTTGTCTCCCTTGTGGACCTAAGTTGTCTCCCTTGTGGACCTAAGTTGTCTCCCTTGTGGACCTAAGTTGTCTCCCTTGTTGACGTTAGTTATCTCCCTTGTTGTGGGTACTTTGGCTTCCCGACAGTCAGCTGCTTGTAAAGACTTATAAGATTCGTAGTTTTCTTCATTGACTTGTTATCTTGATTGTATGACTTACTGATGTTACAAGTATTTGAAATATATATTGCTGTTTCTTGTGTTTCGTTGCTGTTTTATTACCTTAAGGAAGAATGGGTGATAACGACTAAAGTGTAGGCTCGTCACGTCAACATTTCGAATCCAAAATGATTGTGTAGAGCTGATTTACGTTGTCGCCACCCGTGAAGATCCGGGTTAGAATTCCGGGTCTTCAGGAACCGATTTTGTAGTAAGAGGCGACTTAGGGGATCGGGTGGTCAGGTTCGTTGACAGTCATATCCGTAGATCCATGTTCATGCATGTCGATCACTGGATTATCTGGTCCAGACTAGAGTATTTACAAACCGCCGCAATATAGCTGGAATATAGTGAGAGCGACGTTAAGTAACAAACCAACACACACATTGTTGTATCGGCTTTGATCAAAGCATCGACAAACATGCTCAGTACATGACGACATTATTCAAGAGATCACCCTCGATGATCTTGAGGTCTATATTTCCACAGTCGTCACCACTCGCCCCTTTCCGTAACCTGCAAGAAGATTCGTTTCCAAATCAATGGATGTTATGGGCGAAAATACGACAATCCAATCAGAATGCACGATAGGACTGGGACTATTTTTATCAAAGTATCTGAGAACTTAAATCGCTAATGGCATTGTGATTGTTTCAAAAATCGTTAACAAAAATGTGTATCGTCATTTTGACATTACAAAGAGCGCTAATAGAACTCTCGAAAATTGAGGTTTTTAGTAAGGATAGGGACACAGACGTAGCGTCAGATCCACGCGTGCGTTTGTTTGCGTAACGGCTCCCATGTTTCGGACTGAGTGTTTTCTTTGACGATCCTGCTTGCTTTAGAGATTTTACATGCGCTTACTGACATGATGCGTATTTCGCAAACGGTTTGACGATATGTTTGGCCTTCCAACTCTATTTCATTTTTATACCCAGTTTGATACGTATCCAGGAGTGATAACTATTTTAAATATTGTAATTATATAGCTTCGATTTTCAAAACAACGTGGTGTGGTGTGGTGCGGTGCGGTGTGGTGTCCTGTGCATAGAACTCAGGTCACAAACAAGTTGAAGTAAAGCAAAGTTGCAGGGGCGGATACAGCTTTTTGAGAAAAGGAGGGGTGCACACTTCATTTTCACCCGAGTTTCAATGGTCTTTTAACAAACTTTCAGCACAAAAGAGGGTGGGGGTGCAAAAAATGGATAGGTGACCGTGTTTGGCAGCTTGACCCCTGAGAGTTCTAGGATATTAGTCCTGCCCCACACCGAAGCACATGCGATTCATGTAGTCTCACCTTCGGCAAGTGAGTTTGTTCAAAATTGCCTCTGTTCACTCAGCAGAAAATGGGTACCCGGTGGGATAAGTCAAGTGACTATTAACCGTCCAGCGCCTCACAGGCAGCTTGGGTTATCCGGGGTAATAATAATCAGATTGTGTGATAGCGCTTTGAGCATGTGTCTTGTAAGGCTCATTAGAAAATTAACGTTTATTATAAAGTGATTATGTATGTGTCGAGTAAACTTCAATCTTCAGCTTACATTTCACAGGGAATATCCTGGTCTGAGGTTTATGGGAACGTTCCTGTATATTTAGCGTATTAATTTTAAACTTCCAACAGAGCTATGGCAACAGAGGTGATTCAGACAACAGCATACTAAGCCATGTTAGGATTCGCCACGAATTCTTCAGTTTCAGTCATATCTTTAAGTCGTACACCAATTTTTCATTTCGTTTGGTTAAATTTGTTGAATATGAATGCCCGTTTCGTTTGAGAAATTGCTAACAGATGCCTCTTCTGCCCAAGATGACTAATATGAATTCACTGTTTTAGGTGAGCTAAATATATTCCAGCTATATCACGGCGGGGGTCACCAGAAATGGGCTATCCCCATGTGGGAATCGACCCTGGTTCTTTAACCACTAGCCTATCTCGCTGCCCCAAATGTCTTAAGTTCTGCGGCTACGGTCCTGCCCCACCTATAATTACCATGATTACAGAGTTTGGGACGCCTTCCAAGGGTTGAGAAATGGGGTCACATGTGGACATGGATATTGGGATTATTGCCGAGTGACAGCCAAGATGACAGGTATACCATCTAACGTCTTATACACTCTGTCAACTAGACCACTGAAGCGATGTAATTGTACAGCACAATAACACAGTGTATTAATAAAAAGAGAGGTCCCGCCAGTGGACGTTTGGGTTTACTGGCGCGGGGACTTCTATATATGGAATTCGTTTCAATTCGTTCGTTCGTTTCGTTGACTCATAAAGGATCGTGGGAAGTGTTTAACGTACATATTGACGTACACTTACAGTTATCTATCTAATGTATTTTCGCCATTGGTACAATGTAATGTCGCTACAGATGAAGTGGTGAAACGCTGGAGGCTGGTGGATGCTTCAACTCATCGACTGGCTCTTGCCGTGAAGATGTAGGGTTGTACCACTGTGGTTGTATGTATTGACTGACTCTTGCCGTGAAGATGTAGGGTTGTACGACTGGTGGTTGTATGTATTGACTGACTCTTGCCGTGAAGATGTAGGGTTGTACCACTGGTGGTTGTATGCATTGACTGACTCTTGCCGTGAAGATGTAGGGTTGTACGACTGGTGGTTGTATGCATTGACTGATTCTTGCCGTGAAGATGTAGGGTTGTACGACTGTGGTTGTATGCATTGACGCACTCTTGCCTTGAAGATGTAGGGTTGTACGACTGGTGGTTGTATACATTGACTAACTCTTGCCGTGAAGATGTAGGTTTGTACGACTGGTGGTTGTATGCATTGACTAACTCTTGCCGTGAAGATGTAGGGTTGTACGACTGGTGGTTGTATGCATTGACTGACTCTTGCCGTGAAGATGTAGGGTTGTACGACTGGTGGTTGTATGGATTGACTGACTCTTGCCGTGAAGATGTAGGGTTGTACGACTGGTGGTTGTATGTATTGACTGACTCCTGCCGTGAAGATGTAGGGTTGTACGACTGGTGGTTGTATGGATTGACTGACTCCTGCCGTGAAGATGTAGGGTTGTACGACTGGTGGTTGTATGCATTGACTGACTCTTGCCGTGAAGATGTAGGGTTGTACGACTGGTGGTTGTATGGATTGACTGACTCTTGCCGTGAAGATGTAGGGTTGTACGACTGGTGGTTGTATGCATTGACTGACTCCTGCCGTGAAGATGTAGGGTTGTACGACTGGTGGTTGTATGGATTGACTGACTCTTGCCGTGAAGATGTAGGGTTGTACGACTGTGGCTGTATGCATTGACTGACTCCTGCCGTGAAGATGTAGGGTTGTACGACTGTGGCTGTATGCATTGACTGACTCCTGCCGTGAAGATGTAGGGTTGTACGACTGTAGCTGTATGCATTGACTGACTCCTGCCGTGAAGATGTAGGGTTTTACGACTGGTGGTTGTATGGATTGACGGACTCATGCCGTGAAGACACTCTGACGTGCTTGACATATCGATGCTCATGATGTTGATCACTGGATTGTCTGATCCACACTCGATTTATTTTGGATACGATCAATTTTCATCAAACTTGACTACAGGTCTTCTTAATTATGACTTTGCCAGTTATTGTTTAACACAACACTCGGCAATATTCCACCTATATGACGGCGGTCTGTAAATAATCGAGTCTGGACCAAACAATCGAGTGATCAAGTTAATTGGGATACGATGACATATGTCAACGAAGTCAGCAAGCCTGACCACCTGATCCCGTTAGTCGCCCCTACGACAAACATGGGTTACCGAAGACCAGTTCTAACCCGGATCTTCATGTGTACCTGTATATGAGTGTATATGTATACGTGCATGGCATTGTATATGTAATGTTACTCCATCAGACGGAATACACACAGCACTATGTATAAATTGTCTATGAGGTGATGTGAAATTGGGTTTAACGTCGTGCTTGAGAATATTTCGCTCATATGACGACGTGCATGCGTGTGTATGTGTATGTGTGGCTGCTTGTACTAGCCCAGACTGAAGCTGGTTTTATAGTGCTAGCCCACTGAGATACCATGCCGCAGTGAAGCATGAATACCCCACTCAGACACATTATACTGACTCCGAGCCGACCAGTCCTTGTTGTACCCATTAATGCCGAGCGCCAGGCAGGGACCAACAAGTACCATATTTTAACGTCTTTTGGTATGACGCGGTCGGGGATCGAACCCGCGACCTTCCGCTCTCCGGGCGGACACTCTAACCACTACACCACGGAGGCGGTAAATTGTCTATGAATGGGATCACAAATGCTACAGATTTAAAGGTCCACCTTGACTATAAGTGACATCAATGTAGCGATGTTTCAATATCACCTTCATTGGTGTGGGTGAGTATACGAACGCCTGACTGCCATTTCATTAAATCGCCCCTTACGACAATGATGGGTTCACTGGAGTGGTCATCACGTACGTTGCAGTGCGCAAGCAGCAAATTTTACCAATCAAAATAAAAGTGATATTTGCTGCATGCCGCCCCTTCGTATTTGGGAATCCTCTAATTCTGACGTCACTTCCAAGACCATTTAACAAAAACACGTGGCTGTCATGGTGCCTTGCTCATGATTTTGATTGACAGCAATGGCAAAAGTGAGCATTGATGAGGAGGCTTTGATTTTGAAAGTGACTGACAGTTTAGCAACGATAGACGCCCACAGGTGTACTGTAAAACACAATATGCCAACGTGACAACGTCCCTGGCCGCCATTACATTAAGACGCTTCACTGGAATATCCATAGAGGAAATGGTGGGAACTTCCTTAAGCAATGATAACAAACCCGTAATGATTTTTTAATCTGCAGATTTGTTTATTGCTTCAGTTAATCCATTTTACAGGATGTCTTAGTGGAACCGCTGTCGCCGTTTCAGAAACCTGAAGACAAAACCCCATGATGACGACACAAATTGTCAAATCAGCGCAGCCTAATGCTTGTTTGTTTGTTGTTCAACGCCGTACTCAGCAATATTCCTGCTATATGGCGGCAGTATGTAAATAATCGGGTCGGGACCAGACAATCCACCGATTAAAACCATGAGCATCGATCTGCGCAACTGGGATGCGATGACATGTGTCAACCAAGTCAGCAAACCTAACCAGCCGATCCCGTTATAGTCGCCTCTCACGACAAGCATAGGTTACTGAAGACCTATTCTAACCCGGATCTTCACGGGTCGCAGCCTTAACGCATATTCTGACACTTACACATATTTACTGTATGTGCTGGGCTGTCGAAAACCAGAAACCAGAGGTAAGAATAGAATGTTCACGCGAGTATCGGGACATTAATGCCCAGTGTAGCTATGTCTGAAAAGTCTAGTTACCAAATTTATTCCTCTCCTTCTCGACAGCAGCTTTGATTTCTTTTTCCAGATCTTTTGTTACCTCTGGAAGTAAAACAAAATGAGTAAGTCAGGTGTACTGCCTCTCTGAACAGTATGCCACTGAGCTTAACATGAAGGACACGGCGGTACGCTAGCCGTGTGTGTGTGTGTCTGAGGCATTGGGCTCTCAAATCCTTTGTGTGTATTGCAGTCACTTTAGCAGGACATTGCGATTGAACATTTTTGTTTATGTTTATGGTCTTTCGGAATGATTAAACGTACGTTAAGCTTGTGATCCTGATAATTTAAGCGATTTTGTTTTAAGAGAGTGTCCGAAGAGGTTTTCGTGGCATTAACAAATGTCGCTACATTCTCATGTAATTCCCTTAACAAAATTATCCCTGTTCAAAAATGGCAACAGGCATCTGTCCACAGTGATTTAAAAGCCTCCAGCATTAACCTCCATTGTGTGTTTGGAAAGAATTATTTAATGATATTGAAAATTTATTAGATCCATTACAATTTGCACACCGACCCAGAGGAGATGTTGAAGATGCCACACTTACCCTGTAGCATAACATGTACACTCATTTGGATTAATGTGGTGCTAATGTTACAGTTTTATTTGAAGACTATCTGATTGCAATATTATCCTACCTCATTAACTCATGTAAAACTCATGAATATGTGTGTAAATTCTACTATCATTAAGTGGACAGAAGCTTGTATGGCCGACAGACCACAGTTGGTTACTGTAAACGGTACTCGCGCTTCAGGTACCTGTACAGCCAGTGGTGTTCCACAGGGTTGTGTTCTTCCTCCCTCCTTGTTTATTTGCTATACACAAATGACTGTAGATGAACATAAACTTATAACAGTTGTCTTACTATAAAACTCGCTGATGATGCAGCTCTTGCGTGTTTGCATAAAAGAGCTGACAAATTTAAGTTTACGTCACGGAGTAAACATAAATTATTATTCTTAAATGTTAACAAACCTAAAGAAATAAATTTTATTTCAGAAAATGAAAACTACCTTTGTGTTCTGTTCCGATTGATAATAAGGAAATTGAAACTGTTGATCAGGACAAGTATCTAATAACATATATTGACTCTAAACTTAGCTGGAATTATTACACTGATTTTGTCTATAAAAGTCGACTGCAGCGGTTATATTTCTTACAGTGTCTGAGGCATTTGAATGTTGACAGGACATAAAGGGTTTTCAGCTGGTTGTTGTCTTGACTATGCACATATCCCCGATATGCTATGCATATGAAAATTACACATGGCATTAGAAATAAGTAAGCATAGTCAGTTTATGCCTACCTTCCCTCACGTCCGGGTTATCGAGGACATTCCTTGCATCAACTAATACCTCGTCTTCCAACTGAGGTACAAGAGCTCTCTTCTTGCCTGCCAAGTGAAAATTTGAAAATATATATCTATACAAACAAGTGATTTCTTCAGATGCTTAAGCAAACAAATATATCATAAAAGATAGAGTCCAGATATTCGTGCTTGTCAAAACCCCTTTAGGCACACCAGATCTTTCACCGCTCTTCAGTGTAACTACAATATCAAGAAACCATCATCGCTACTCTACCTGATAATCGTGATGCTGAATGCACAGTTATGCAAAGGCAAGCGTGAAATCCAATCAGGTATTCTCACTGTACAGGACTCGTGCTCAAAGGTAGTTTGATATTGGTTGCAACAGTTTGGATGTCCACAGGTTTTATGGTAGACATGTGGAGGACATTTACATATTGGACAAATCAGAGACAGAAATGATAATTATAACTGATGACTGATAGCTTAAATTCTCGTCATTTTGTAGCTGTGCAGTTGACTTGTTCTTGTGTTTGTGACGAGAGTCAATGGCGGGATATGATAAGCACACATTTTCGTAACCCTCTGGTATCGTCCATATTTGATAGCGATTCATAAACTCGCATAGTTGGAATCGTATTATCGACTCTGATTTCATCAGCAATTTATCACGTTTAATGTGCATACTGCAAACGCCAGACATGCCAAGTCTCTTTACGACCTGAACCTAAAATATCCACTACCCTAAATTTGATAGTGCATGTTCAAAGACTTACAATTCTTCGTGGTAATGTTCTCTGATTTTAACACCAAAGCGATAATACACTAGAGCCATAAACAGGGACGTTAAAAACAGGAAAATAACAGAAAAACCTGTCTGAAATTATCAATCAATTGAAACAGATATGCCTTTGATTACACCCTATGGGATTGCGGTACAGAACAGTTTCCCATCTCCCATTCATTGGGGATCGTAAGGTCACAGATGTGAGACTTGTATGATTGTGTGAGAGAGAGTTGGACCTATTATATCTACATGTATAGATTCACAAGGCCCCACCAAGACGGACAGGCTGAAGAAAGGTTCTTACCAGTACGTATTCTGACTGTGACCCTGACGCCCATTTGGACGACCTCTGTCATCAGCAGCAATCCTAGGAGAATCAGCACGTACTTCATCTTTTTGCAACCGGAAGACGAAAACAATGACGCTTCCCTGTGCCACTACTTATAGCCACTCGGATGCCTAATCAGAGTTTTCATCGTAATAACGTGACAACCAGGATGTGTTACAACTTTCACTCATTGTAAAGTGTTACACTGTAGTTCAACCATGATCTGCACTGGCAGCAGATGGTGCCATACAAAGATCCTGTAATGATATATGTCTTTTCTGATCACTGTACAATATGAACCCAAAACACACGAAAACAGGTATCAAACAAACATATTTGTAACGCAAGCATCCATCTGTTGGTAAAGTCTAGAGAATACGTCAATGAAAGTTAGTTTCAATAATTAACTACAAGGAAGCTTCATGTCATCAATCTATGTACAAATGTATCTTAATATGATGCAGGTGGCTATTGACAAAGCGCCTTGCCTTAGTTTAGTTTTGTACCAGAAATATATTCCAAAA